TTGCACCAATATTCTGAGCAAGGGGCTGGACTGGAGGCAGAGAGCCCCCAAAACTGAAACCTGACTGTACTGAAGCTCCAAAACCGATTTCCCCCACCCCACTCGTGGTTCTGGGTCTAAATCCAAAAAGTATGGGCTGTTCTTCTTTTGTCGCAGATTCAGTCAGGATTTTCTCCCCAAATCCTTCAAACATTCCCAGAAGATCAGATGAACTCTTTTCTGTGCCACCAGACTCAATGGCCATCTGACGCACTAAAGCCTGAGAAGCCAACTGAGGTGTGCTTTGCAAGTCGATATCAGATGCAAGGGAGAGGCCAAGTGCCCTAGGTATCGCTAGGTTCCTTAAACTTCTGTCTGCTCCCAGGGCTCCAGGAGGAGGATGAGGACTTGGAAGAAGAGGAGCATGTGGAGGAGGAGGAGGAGGCAGTAATGTAGAGGGTATATATTGCTGTAGCCTCTGTGAAGAGTGTAGAGCAACACCACCACTGTGAGGAGGAGGAGGAGGAGGAGCAGGAAGACGAGCTAGCTTACTTTTCAACTTAATGGGTAAGCCAATAGAAAGAGAGTCGAGGCCCTTGGCTTGCCTACGTGAAGCTCTGAATGGTGGAGGTAGGGGTTGGGAAACTTCCTTGACGGGAGACTCATCAAATCTGTCTTGTGCAGAAAGACACTCTGCCACTTCCACGGAACTTGTTTCCTTGAGCCTCATTAGTTTGGTCAATTTTTCAGGCATTCTTTTTCGAATGACCATTGCATGATGCTCTACTGAATGTGAGGAATGGTGACTCTACAAAAAAACAGAGAAATAAAGAAAACAAAAAAGAAGTCAGAACCTGTTCATACACTCACAAATTTCTTTTTGACCACTTGAAGTTCATTGTAGTTCACGCACAAAAATCAAGTTTGAGATATGAGATATGAAGCAAAGTTTTGATCAATAACTTTATGCAACAATTTAGCAAATGAATGGAGCAGTATGCATTGTCCTGCTTCAACAAAAACATGCGTATGATATAGGATTGTAATGATGGATCATTCTCGATTGATATATCAATTAAATGATCAATGATCCAATATCATCAATGCAAAGTAAAAACATTGATCCATATCATTATTTTTAGGATACGCCTTTATTTTGAAACTCTGCGTCATCATCAAACAGCACCAGGCAGATAATAGCAAGCAGCCAAGAAAACGACGATGAGGATACATCAGCAGTGTGGAAATATTTGGATTGCGGAGAAAATATGGGTCATGAGACAAAGCACATTTTATTTGTACAACGCCCTTATAAGATAAATTACTCAACACAACAACATTAGCTGCTCTGCTTCAACGATGTTCAGCTGAATAAAAGTGTATGCAGGCTAAAATTTAACCGTGCTGTTCTGTCAGGAGATGAAATGACTTGAACCAACAGTGAGTAAGAAAATTTTGAATAATACATAATAATAATACATAATAATACAATACAGTAATTTGTTGAGCTATGAGTGGAAAAAGTGTACTAGCTGCTAGGCTAATTTATGCAAACTTTGTGATATGGGCAAATATCGTATCGTTGTCCAAAGAATCAATATCGCATCACTAGGGATTTACAGCGCTTGCATGATGCCACACAAATAGCAACTCTATCTACATGATGTATTCATTGTCCCCCAGAAACAGCAAATGTGCAGCTGCAGTTTGGGCATAAAGGGACTAACCGTGGGTGAATACTGTGGAGAGGCTGATTTCTCTTCCAGTCCTTGCATAACATATTGATCCATTCCTTCGTCTGAAGGCCAATCCTCATCATCATCCTCACTTGCAGACTCATCATCATCTAATCCTTCTTTCTATAACAGAGAGACAAGTGACAATTAGTAAATCACAACGAGTGAACTTGCTCTATCCTTCCCCGATGACTACACTAAAACACAGTGTGATGTTACCCTCGTAGGAGAAGCAAGACCAAGATCCTCATCTTCACACTCTTCCTTAGCCTGTAACAGAAACAAAATGCAACTCATAAAAGTGACAATCAATAAATCACAGCAAGTTAAGTTGCTCTGTCCTTCCCTCATTCCCTCCCTGATTACACTAAACACAGTGTGATGTTACCCTTACAGAAGAAAAAAGACCGAAACCCATATCATCCATAGACTCAGACTCAGACTCAGACGCATCCTGTAACAGAGAGACTAAATGCAGCTCATAAAAGTGACAATTAGTAAATCACAGCAAGTTAATTTGCTCTGTCCTTCCCTCATGATTAAACTGAACACAGTGTGATGTTACCCTTACAGAAGAAATAAGGTTAAGAGTCACACTCATATCCATATCTTCATACTCAGACTCAGACTCACGCACATCCTGTAACAGAGAGACAAAATGCAGCTCATAAAAGTGACAATTAATAAATCACAATAAGTAAAATTGCTCTTTCCTCTCTCCATGATTACACTATACACAGAGCAACATTACCGTAAGAACACGTTCTTCCCCTTCGCGATCCTCAGGAGAAATCCAGCTGATGTAGGGGAGGAAGTCCACATCTTCCTCCAAGATCAAGTTGGGGATGTCCATGACGCCCTCCTCGGTTGATACCTCATCCTGAAATGAGGTTGATGAGTTTGGTTTGGCGCTGCGAAACCTTCAAACCCAGGCTAAGCAGGTAGGAGAAATTCATACAAATAACAGTACAACAAACCCTCTCCTCGATGGCCACAAAGCTGGTGAACTGAGACAGGATAGAGTGCTCTTTGCTTAACTCGATGATGAAGCGCTTCAACTCTGCTTTCTTCCCCTAGAAAAGCCAAAAAAATAAAAAATACAGGTCAACATAACATGTTCAGACGGGACATCTAAACCAAGCTAAACACACAAGCTAAACACACGCAAACACAAACCTCGTGTTCGGCTTCATTGGTATCCAGGCTTCCGTCTTCGTAATCCCTGATGATGGCCCTTGCTGTGAGCTTGTGAAGAAGCTGAACACACACACACACACACACACACACACACGTCATGATCATCACCTTATCATCCTCATGATAATGACAATCACCAGCAACATGCATCAGTATCAGCAGGGTAAACTTGCTGTGTGAAAGTGGACCCTTTTGGAGCCTTTAATTTAACTTTTAAAGGAACAGTGTGTAAGATTCAGGGGGATTTAGTGGCGTCTAGCAGTGAGGATTGCAGACTGCAACCAGCTTAAACAGTGTTCATTGCTCAGGAGGTTTTTAGAATCATCCGCAGAGTTCTCTCCCTCTCCAAAATAAACTTACTCAGTGAATTAAACCAGAAAAAAAACACTGAAAAAAGCAGTTACATGTTACAAATCACTGTTTGTTTCATCCCAGCACCTGCTACTGCATGCTCATCTTTTTACTCCAAAAACTAGAGATCTAGGAATTTCGGAGGTTTTTACAAGGAGCTGAATTATCCACAGAGGTGTCTTCCTCTCCAAAATCAAACAGACCAGGTGATTAAAACCAGTAAAAACACTGAATAAAGCAGTTTAACTACTACGCTGCTTGTAGTGGAGGGGATGCTAACTGTGGTGGCCGACATGAAAACTCAGATTACTGTTGCCATCAGGGTGGAGCTGTGGATGAGCAAAGGATGGATCTGACTCATGGACTGCGGTGATGCCTTGCAGACAGCCTGTCACTCAAGCACCCCTTGGTTAGACACAACTTCAAGCTTTAATAAAATGTACACTGGTGAGTTACATAAAAATTCACCCTGTTGTCATGGCAGTTAAAATTAGCTAGAGGGACGATTTTTGTACCAGGCTCTACATGCTCTGCTGTAACACTGGGCATTTTAACATGGGTGTCATTAGCAGGACATGTTGAGACTGCTCAGTGTGAATGTGAGTGTGTTCTTACTGTGCCCCTGGACTTCTGCAGCTCACTGGTTGACACCATCGTTTTGAGCTCCTGACCACTGAGGTTTCCATGGAGGGTGGCCTGTGTGAAGTAACAATCATTTGAGTCATTTATCAGGCAAAAAATATCTGCTAGTTAACAGCTCCTTAAAAATGCTGCTTCTGTATGTTTTATATTATTGTAAATTCAACGTTGATGATTTTAACTACTGGTCAAAGAAAACAAGCAATGTTAAGATATCACCTTGAGCTCTGAGACATTGCAACGGGTATTTTTACTAGTGTCGGATATATTTTGTGGACTGAACAGTTAATCAAAAATGAGACTAGAATTACTGCCTTGCGTAAGTATTTTCATTGCAGTTTACACTCATGTCTGTGAAAATATGGCTGCTTCACACACATATTCCCCCAGAAGCGCAAATTTTAAGGTGGGCACTCAAGATTAGTGTCACCAATTCAGTATCTGACCAAATGTCTTCCCTTCTGTTCCTGAGATATGAGGCTGAGTAATGGCCAAAAAATGGCTTTACACAGAATATTATGATGTCACAGTGAAGCTGACCTTTGACCTTTTGGATATAAAATGTCATCACTTCATCATTTTATCCTGTTAAACATTTGTGTGAAGTTTTGTCCAAATTAGCGGAAGAAGTCTTGAGTTATGGCCAAAAACATGTTTTGTGAGGTCACACTGACCTTGACCTTTAACGACCAAATTCTAACCAGTTCATCGTTAAGTCACATGAATGGGATGGATGCAAGGTCACAGTGACCTTGACCTTTGACCACCGAAATCTAACCACTTTATCGTCAACTCCAAGTGGATATTTGTGTCAAAGTACGTATCGCTTTGACAAGAATGAAACAAACAAGGTCACAGTGACCTTGGCCTTTGACCTATGACCATCAAAATCTTTAAGTTCAGTCAAAGTGGATGTTTGTGTCAAATTTGAAAAAAAAAATACCTCAAACTGTCCTTGAAATACTGCGTTCACGAGAATGAGACGGATGCAACGTCACAGTGACCTTTGACCACAAAAATCTAACCACTTTATTGTTGAGCCCAAGTGAACGTTAGTGCCAAATCTGGAAAAAAAAATCTCAAACTGTTCTTGAAATATCACTTTCACAAGAATGAGAAAGAGAAGGTCACAGTGGCCTTGAGCTTTGATCAACAAAATCGAACTAGTTTATCGTTTAATCCAAGTGAACGTTTGTGCCAAATCTGGGGGAAAAAAAAAAATCCCTCAAACTGTTCTTGAAATATCACTTTCACAAGAATGAGACAGACAAGGTCACAGTGACCTTGACCTTTGACCACCAAAAGTTTTATCAGTTCACTGTTGAATCCAAGTAGAAATATGTGCCAAATATGAAGAATTAGCGTAGCTGTAGTGAGATATCATGTTCATGTGAATGAGATAGGTGCAAGGTCACATTAACCTTGACCTTTCACCTAAGACCACCAAAATCTAATCAGTGCATCACTGAGTCCAATGGGACACTTGTGCCAAATTCTTGAGATATCGCATTCACAAGAACCCAAAAACATAATGCCTCTGCTTATGGCTATTGCTGGGAAGGAGACATAACAAATCTATAGCGTATACATATTCATACCATCAACAAGCTGTTTATTCTGTATATAAGGTCCACTATGAGCATTACTTGTAATTACACTCTGCACTTTATATTTTATACCATACAAGAACTGCCTACTATGGTACTGCTGTATATATTTAAGTGTATTCATACACACTGTTAATACTGTTTGTCCTAATCATACTGTAATCATGTCGTGTGTACCTGAGTGCAGTGAGGCACAAAGCCATACACCAGGGTGTGACAGTCATTGAACAGAGCATGGAGCTGCTTGGGGGCTTGCACAGGAGAGGGCGCTGTTGGGTTGAACTGCTGCCACTTCACTGACACTGAACTGCAGCCAGGAGACGCCATACGCTTCACCTGCCGTACCACCTGCAGCCAAAACAAGCAAAACAGACAAGTTAACAGAGGTTTTTTCAGTCCATGTGATAGTGTGTTTGTCATATTTCATGACATTAGAGCTGCACTAAGATTGGAAAGATCCTCCTGGGAAATTTGAGGATACTTTGCATATTTACAAATGACTAACAATATGAAAGGTAAGTAGACAAACAGATAAAGCATGAATGATCACCCATTTGAAGGTATAATAGTGCAACAATACAAAGCCTAGATGAGCCTATTTACAATAGTTGTGATTTATTACTCTCATTTAGGTGAAATGCATTTATTAACCTCATTTTGGATTACTGTTTCCCCCCTGTTGTGATTCATTAAAATATTATGAACAATCAAAACAAGCAACAGTAGGCAGGTCAGAGCAGTTTAAAGAGATTCCCCAACTGGTTGCATAGAAGAGAATCGTGATCTATCAGCTGACTCCCTTCCATCGATCAGCTGATCCATTAGTTGATTAGACTGTTTGAGATCAGCTGATGTAGCTGAAATATGAGCTGAGCTTGACATCGTGTCTGGCCTGAACTAATGCTATGCTCAATTTAATCGAAGGTAGCCAGCCTCACCTTTTCTGTCCAGTTGTGTTTGGTTTTAGTGTCGAAGAATTCATAGGCTCCGCCCCCTGCCTGAGCCAGGATTCTGAGCATGTGCCGATTGGCTGTCGAGCTGAAATGAGAAAGAAGACTATTAAAATGTTTGTCTGTGATCAAAGATGCTCAGTGTGCAGAGCATGGTAGCTACTGTTCTACTGTAAATGTTAATGTGTTTGTCTTGACCCATCCAGACCTGAGGCCGCAGGTGAAGAGGCGGCTTTGCTGAACGTTGTCTCTGAGCAGCTGCAGGGTGAGCTCTGTGTTCTGGATGTGACCGTCCGACAGCAACAGCAGGTTCCTGGTGCCGCGGGACGGAGGCAGCAGGCTGAGAGCTCGCAGCGGCCGCCACAGCTCAGTGCTGCCCCCTAGCGGAGTAGAGGACTGATAGGAGGCAGAGGAGCATAACCACAGAAACAGTTTGATATGGTCATTTGACTAGTTCAACAGAAAATTGCGATTGATTGTGTTGCTTATATTACCATACTTTCCCTGTTTATTTATGTTGCCATGTTTGTTCAGACCAAACTCTTATCGAACTGTAAAACTAAGCAGCGCTGATCAAATATGAAGATTCTGTTACTGTGTTGCCTATTCCTCCCCTCACCCACCAGCGGGAGCGTTTATTAGTTCAGTGGGGCGCGGTGCATTCTGGTAGTTGTAGGTTTTCTACCTCTTGAGCTAAGGCAAATGCCAGCACTTTTCTTGGTTTTCTCTGGTCATGTAGCACTGATTTCAAAGGTCTTTCTGTCTTTTTACTGCACACACAACCCAGCTTTTGAAAACAAACAGGTGTAAGAACATTTTTCTTTCAGTTCACTTTGTTTAGTAGATAATAATATAATAATAATAATAATAATAATAATAATAATGATAAATAAGATACATACAAAGGTAGTTCAATCTCTGCTTGAACATCTTTCCCAGCTGAAACTATGGGGGCAGGGTAACACAAAAGTACTTCAAAGGCCCTGACACACCAAGCTGACAGTCGGGTGTCAGTCAATGTCGGGCCATGGTGAGCGTCCTAGTTGCTGCTGTGTGCATGTTCAGCATAGCTGTCTGTGAATGGAATCACTGATTGGCAGTTCACCTCAGCACACAAGAAGAGAAACGGAAGTGAGGAAAGTAAACAAACAGCTAAAGTCAAGAGGGAGTGAGACAAAAAAAAAAACTTGTAACATAGGGTTAGATTATAGGAAACGTAAGGAAATTACATTTCGTGGTGGCATGTGTTATTGTCCACCGGTGCACGGTTGTGTCGTTAATGTGCTAACTGGCTAACTAGCCTTTTTGAAGATGAATACAGACAACTGCCGTCTGCTGGTATGAAGAGTTGTTTCCTCTCACACAGGCTATTCTCAGTAGGTTAACGCTGTGACCTAAATCCAGCAGTTCTCGATTTTTCTCTAGCAGCAAAGCAACAGAGATAGTGCACAAAAGATGCCTCTCTGTGCTTCTATGTTCCACTGCTCAACAGCTTGTTTGGTCGTTACTCCAAAACCTTACCTCAGTAAGTTTGCAACTTGCTTTCGGTCTGTTTGACTGTCCAGACATTGGCCTGCTACAAGTGTGGCAATGGCAATGGTATGCCAAAAAATTGCTGCTGTTATGACCATCCTGCTGTGTTAATTTGAATGGGAATGTCAGTTCTATCTTATTCTGTTTCTATGACAATGACACATAACAATTGCTTCCACGTTGAACAACAGAATGAAAGAATCTGCAAGTCATTACTTACCTTGATGAAGTTCTTGGCGTCCTTACGAGCTTCAGTGAGTGGCTGCGCTGTCAGGAAAGCGTCGCTGTGATCTGACAGACAAAGGCACAGTAAAAGTCAGGAAAATTACTTCTGACTACTGCAGTACTTTTGCAAAATATTCAGTGAGATAATGATCGATGAGAAACAGATTTAACAGGTTTAAACTATAAACAGAGTTTGGCTTATTCAGAAGAAACTTTAATGTAAGGTTTAATGTAAACTTTGATGTAAGGTAAAGTGCTGAAACACTGGTCTGCATGTAAGAGTGTATCACAGTTTACCAGAACCAAAGACATGGTGGTTTAATTCCCTAATTTCATTCCCTTTAATGCATGGATTGTGTCCTGTAGTTTTTTTTCCAAAATGCCCCGAGGATTCTCTTCAGTTTTTATTTATTTAAAGCTGTCCAATAATTCCTTTCACTATCTGTTTTTCTCAGATCTAACTTCTTCCTCAACAGTGAGACAGTTTTACTTTTGTCCCACCTTTCACACATCACTGTCTTTTTAAGGTTTAATCACTATATACACAAAAACGTAAAATGATCAAACTGACCTGTGCCAAAGAAAATGACATTGACTCTGAGGTTGTCGCTGAGGGTTTTGAGAACCTGCAGCGCGATTCTCTGGGCCGTGCTGAAAGGTGCTCCGTTCATGGACTCAGACGTGTCCAGCAACAGGACGACTTCATCGGATGCCGATGTGGAGTCGACTTTAAAGTCTGGATAGAAAACCAACATGCAGGCCTAGTGGAAGAGGGCAAGAGATGGTTATGAAACAAGAAATAAAGTAACACAGGGTGAGAGAAAGAGAGGAAGACACACAGACACACCTGAGTGTCCTCATCATGGCTTTTCTCTACCCACATCCTGGGCAGGTGGACCTCAGACATAGTGACTGACAGCTGGAAACCTTCTTGACCCAGGACCTGTCCTGGCAGTACGCTCACCACCGCCTTACAGTCTGTTCTCTGTGGGATCACACACACACACACACACACACACACACACACACACACACACACAGAAAAGAAAAAAGGATACATATGAGAAGGGACGAAGAACTGAGTTTTGATGTCAAAAATCTGCATCGTAAGAAGCCAAAACTCGGAATAAAATATTCAAAGTCTTAAAATGACTTACACACTCTAAATAGCAGACAAAATTGAATTAAAAAATAACTTCTGATATGATGAAGCATAGAAGAGCAGGTAGATTATTATGAAGCTGTAACACTCAGCACTGGGTTGCACCAGCTATGCGTACGGTCAATCGTAGCCTCGTTGAACACTTTCTAAACTTGGTTTAATTTTGCACTACAAACATTTTAAGGGTTGCACCAGCTGAAATATTTCCAGTGTTGGCATTACTTGCAGCTTCAATCTTACAATACGCCCTTAGAAGGTGTAAAGTCCTCAGTTAGATAGCTGTTGTTATGGCACATAAGTTTCTAATTAGTAACTACTAATTTATGCTATGGTGGTGCGACCTAGCGTAGTTCGTTTTTTAGCCGAACAGTAGCTTTTTACCTCTGGCGACTGCATTCTGGCTTCAAAAATCATAAAAGACGTGTTCATAGATCATCTTGCTGAACAACATGTGTAAGTATCATAAATGTTAGTTTGCTACAGAGCTTAATTTCGGGAATAATGAAGGAACCAGGGTGACATTAACTTCCTTGACGGGCTGCAGAAAAACATCACCCCTGAGCACTCTACGAGACAGAGGAAATGACTGATAACCATGTAACAATATCTGCATATTCTAAATATTGGATTTATAAAATGTGAAAATACCCAAATTACCTTCATCTTGATTTTGTGTGTGATGCACTGCAGGTTGGTGATCTCATAGGGCATCTCAACAAACATGTCCAGAGTGAACTCTCTGTGGGAAAGAAACGCATTGAACTGAATAAATAACATTATATGGAAGAACACACAGAGGCGTCATTGTTTAATTATTTGTGAATCAGCTAGTCGATAAATCCACTGCTTCACCACATTTCAGCACTGAGCACTCAGCACTAAAGATGGAGTCCGAATTCAGGGAACAAGAATCTCATGGGTTTAAAATTACATTAAACATAAATTGTATAAAAATAGTCAAAACAATATTAAGCTCACCTTGCTTCGTCAGTCACACACACCTTCTCCACAGAGACCTGTTGAGCAATGGAAAACACAAAAATGCAGACGAGAACAGCCATTTTACATTCACAAAACTAAGACAGAAAGAAACAAAGTAAAAACTAAAATTTTGATGTGTGATTTTTTTTTTTAGTTTTTGTTAGGCCTCCCATCCAGGTCTTCCTTACCTGCGTGGTCTGGTTGAGCGCTGCACTCTGCTGCCACGGAGCCACGCTCCCAGGAAGAGAAAAGTGAATACTCCCGTCCCTGACGATCAGCTCGGACACATAGGTGACTTTAATGAGGACAGTTGCAGCGGGCGGCAGATTTCCCACTCTGATGGTGAACACGTCCTGCAGAGAAAAACAAAAATGATGTCACAACTGGCGTAGAGACAGAGACTCAAAGGGGCAAGAGCTTTTTTGGGCAACCCCTGGATATGAAATTCCCAGCTCAAATTATACCCAAAACAAACAAAAAAAATATGCTGTGATGGAAGTGCCAAGTAAGACAAATACACCAGTGCATGTACACAGAAAAAAAGTATTTCAAGCCCTGTGCTACACTGATTGATCAGTCTTATATTTCAGAATTAGAGATTGTGAGATTAAGAGCTCAGTTTAGCATGACGAGATGTGTTCAGCTGAGTGCAGAGGGTGGACATACTGGGGCGTCCTGGTCCATGAGGTAGGCTCCATGGCCTTTCGCAATGGCCTGCTTGTACTCCTTGCGAGCCGTCTCTTTCTCCTTTACCTAAGATCCAAACAAACATACAAAACAAGTCAAAATATTTCCAGTCATTGAGCAGTCGGTCAGAAAAGGACAGAATGCCAACATTTGCTCACAATGGGCCTCATTCACTTATATGTGCGTAGAAATGTTATTACTTTGCGCACAAACTCAGATTCATGACGTTCACCGGCCAATTTCATACTTGCCAACATTCATATTTTAGTGAATCAGAATCATTCTAAACTGACTGATGCACTATTTTCAATCCACATACTGCCACACCCCCATTGCTCTACACAAGGACAATTGTTCCAGCCCGATCTGCTATTTCCCTTGAAACTGGGAGGGTATCCAATGACTCAGATGCTGTTCCAGGGAACTGCATAGCTGCAGCAAAACTTTTCTTGGCAGCAGAAATAGCTAACAGGCCACTCTTGACTCTCTTCAAACACGTTATGCCAGTCTCTGAAGATGTGCTCTCTCCTGAAGGCGCGGCTGCACTATCTTCCTGCAAGGCTAAATATCTGAACGCCTGCTTAGAGGTTAATCAGAATGTTTTATATTAAGTAGTCAGCTAACAACTAACACTGGCTGGCATATGTATATAGTTACTAATAACATAATTACTACTTAGTTAGGTTACCTGTCCCACCACATGTTTCCCATTGATGAAAGCTTCAAAGCCACACACTGCTGCAGAATCATCCAACGGGAAGACATACTTTGCCTCAATGGGCACAGAGCTCAGATTGGTGTAATGTTGGAAAATGACGACCTAAACAGAGGACAGAAGAGAAGACATGTTTTAAGGACAGGTGTGAGACACTTTCATGCATTTTAGATGGCTGAATCAAATCAAACATCAGATCACTGAGCTGCAATCAATCTTACACTGAAGAAAAAAATTCAGTGGAGACGTTTTAATTTCACCTGAGAGAGCAGATCCCTCAGTTTGCACTTCACGTGGACGCCCTGCAGAGGGAGCTGCTGACCAGAGCTGTCCAACAGTCCAGCCGTCACATCCTCCAGTGGGTTTTTAATGTTTTCAATCCCATCATCCTCCAACGACGACTCCAACTGAGCTACACTCACACCAAGACAGGCAAAATACTTCACTATTTCACTACTTCACTACTATCACAACAAACAGGACATCTCGACAAAAAATATCACAATTAAGCATTACAAGTACATTCACAAATATATGGAATACGAAGTCTTTCATGACATGCATGTGAAAATAAAAACAGTGTCTGTAATACTTAGTAATCCTGAAACATGCAAAATCTGAAACAGTGATCACAAGACTCTATTTTAAGGCTTCATGCTGTATATGAAAGAGATGCTATGTGGCATGTGTGAGTGTGAGTGTATCTCATCTTACGCCCTTTGAGACTTCAACTTTACATAATTTACAACAGCTATAGACTTGCAGATTTTCTTGGGGAACGCCATCAGTTCAGTTACTTCTGCATAGAAATGTGATGAATTAGAATGAGCTGCTGTGATGTGACTTGCAAGACAAAACACCCTCTCTGGCGATGAGAGTGGACTCCGAAATGTATTTGGAAATAAGAGACTGACTTGCATCTGTCGACGAAATGAGTGCAGAGACAAGTTTTGTTTGCACTTATTTGTGAATTTCATAGTTTTTGAAGGACTACTTCACCCGTAAAATGACCATTTATATATCAGTTACTCGACCTGTATTACCTTGAATTTGTGTGGAAAACTTTGTTCGTCTTGCATCCCTCCACGGTGAACACAGAATCCAAAAAATGTGACCATTCTCAAACTGTGGCTGCGTTTAACAGAAGCAAAACTACCTGTACATCAAAACATCGATTTACAAACTCACACATCTCCTGCAGTATAATAAAAGTCCCATTTATCCAGTTGTATGCTCAGTACTTCCAAAAAAACATGCATTTTTGCTAAAAACATGATTTAAAACAGGTCAGTGCACACAGTCTCAAGCTAGGGCATGTGCATGAATCTGTTCAAGGGGAGCTCAAATGCAGGCTTGCACTCAGGCGCGCTCAGGACGTGCTTCTCATTGATGAAAGTATTTTAAATTGTGATGTTTTAGTGAAAATGCATGTGTTTGAAAAGCACTGAGCATACGACTGGATAAATGAGACTTCTATTATACTACAGGAGTTGTGTGAGACTTGATGTAAATGGATGTTTTGATATAGTTACGCCGTTGTTAAATGGGGTCTCCTATCACTCAAATTCATTAAGAATGTTCATCTTCTTTAGATTCTCTGTTCACCCTGGAGGCATGAGAGAAGTCAAGGTAACATACTTTATGGGTAAAGTATTCTTTTAAGCAACACATAGTAGACTATACCGTGGAGGGTTTGACACATCCAGGCTTTTAACGGTCAGTAATGATGTACAGCCAAAGCCACTGACGAGTAAAGTGAGTAACACTGATCATCTTATTACAATGCATTGTTCTGCAGGGAAACCTTTGGTCCTGGCATTCATGTGGATACCACCTGTCACCTCCACCCACCCAAACACTATTGCATACCAAGTACCCCCCCTCATGGCAACATCATTCCCCAATGGCAGTGGCTCCTACGGCAGGACAATGCACCACGCCACATGGTCGTGTTCCTGTGGGCCATTTCTTTCAATTCATCTACCTTGCCTCTAAATTTCTCAGATCCCAAGAGGTACCCCTGATCCATGGTGACTGGACTTGGCTCTGACCTGTCGAGGCATGGACACAGGACGTCTAGAGGGTGTCCTGTGGTGTGGATCCTTTGAGTCCTGTGGGTTGTTTGGTGGGGTACAGGCAAGTCCCACAGATGCCTGATTAGACTGGGATCCAAGTTGACACCTTAAGCTTTTTGTCACGTTCCTCAAAGCATTTCTGAGCAGTTTTTGCTGATCTGGCCTCTGTTACTGGGGAGTGCCGTTGCCATGAGGGGGGAGTACTTAATCTGCAACAGTGTTTTTGGTAGGTAGAGCGAATCAGGTGGCATCCACATAAATGCCAGGACCAGGTTTCCCAGCAGAACATTGCATTGTAATGATATACTTAATGTTACTCACTTCACCTGTCAGTGGTTTTCATGTTGTGGCTGATCGGTGTAGATATATTTAAACAGAAGTAAGCTCCTTGATCCTCTTACTCCAGCGTCTCCTTGTAAAATCAGAACTGTCCTCTCATCAGGATGTAAAAGCTTTTGGAGCAGCGTTTAAACCAACACAGAAAACTAAACTCTGCATTTTCATTTTAGCTTTCCTGCTGTCCGAAGTAAAAACAACTCCATAATTCAGCCGAGTGGACCGGAGAATTATACTTTGATAAAGTATATTTTGGTAACTACACAACTTAATAAGTTTACCATAGTGGTTCAAAATGGCTTCAGGAGCCAAAAGATTTCAGAAAAGTTTTTCAATCACCACAAACAATATGATGTGTTCTTATGTTATTTAAACTGCTGATCGTCAGGACAACTATACCATTTGTCTTTAGGGGCCGCAACAGCTCAGCTGAGGTGTCGATGGCAGGGCTGAACTCCTTCAGTTGGTCGTTCTTCATGGTGAACTGAACCACATACTTCAGTTGGACCTGATCAGGACTGTACACCACATACTCGTCATCCTGGAGCACAAGTATAATGATGCACAGTACGTTAGAATGCACACAGGCACAGACATATAGATGTGTTAAAGCTTTATAGATTTACACAAATGATTGTTTTCATAAATAGTAGATTTAGATATGATAACAAATAGGTGAATTCACTTATTGGGTCTCATTCACCAATATAAGTTTCTTCTTAGATTTGTTCTTCAGAAAAGGTCCTAGAAAAAGTCCATGTCAGATTAACAACGTGTTCTTACATGGCAGAATTGTTTGCTCCTGTCTTCTTATTAAAGGAACGTAATTGCTGATCCTAATAAGCATAGGTAAACACCCCATATATCCCCATAAACGGACATAAGACTGCAGGGCCATGTGCAATCACAGAAACTGATAAATAAGAGGAAGTTGAGAGATTTGAGTCAAGAATGCCCAAAAGAAAGTCCGAAGGTGGTGGAGCAACAGACCCCAAACACACACACACACACACACACACACACACACACACAAAAAGGAATTCTGAAGTGGAGGTGCCTCTGCAGAAAGTGAACACCAAACCAGCTGTCATATTTAGTAGCGTCAGAAGAGGATATAAAATCACACAAAATGATGCACAGGATGCTAAAAATATGCGTTAATCAACCACCCAGTCTGCAAACCACTAATATGCATTACAGCTGAACAATTGTCAGGACTAAGGACAGAGATGAGCAGCAGGGTGCTCTTCAAAATTACGTGTGTTCAGAGGGAGACAGACAGGGGGAGAGAATGTAAAAGCGGACAATTTCATGCAATGTCTCTCTTAAAACCGACTCATAATACTCCCTCTATGTCACTTTTTGTCCCATCCATCCATTCATCCATCCATCCATCCACCCAGAATTCAAATTGTTTGATCTAAATCAATTTGATTGGTTCACACTGTCACGATGAACAACTAATGTGTGTCTGATACTAGCACTGAACATCTAATTAGAGACGCTTAATTTAGCAGTACAGGCAAACACTCCTACCTGAAAGTCAGACTTAATGTGACGGGTGCGGCGCACCCCGTGCACGCTGTTGTGTCCCTCAGGAGCCTGTGTCAATGTGAGGTCTCTCTTGTAGACGTCCTTGCACCGTCCCAGTGCCACATCACACACCAACATCAGCCGGGAGCCATCGGTCTCACTGGGCTTGGAGTATTGCAAACTGGTGCTGTGGATGGAGATGGAGACAAAGAGATGTGCTTTCCAGAGATGGCTGTGTTGTTGCCATCTGCGCTCCCAGATGATGAAAAGATGTAAATGAGGATCTCAGGCTCACTAGCTCAATTTCATATTTCCTCATTTTCAGACATGCTATTGAAATTGCTCTGGGCTTACTTTGTTTAATGTTTTAAGGCAATAAAATGGCATTATATAGACGATGGTGATATATGTTAAAACTAATCGACAATATTTCTGGAATAAACCTGATCAATACCAGATTTTCTACTGACCTCATAGCATCACTGAAGTAGATTCCACTCCCCAGATTACCCATGTCTGTTCTCTCAATCCCATGATACTCCACTCCGACACGGGGCAGCAGCAGGCCACTAAAGGAACAGCGAAACACTCAGTTACACAAAAAAAGTCCAAGTTAGAGTTCTTAAGTTTTCAGTTAAAGATGAAAAGCTGCTCTGTACTGATATTACATATATCATCATCACTATTTAATATATGCATAAATATAAAGAGGACTGTCAAAACACTAAGTACATACAGCATCTCTGCACTAGAGGGATGCTGCTTGAAAACTTGAACTTAAATGATGCATAAATCCTGTAGGTTGATGTGGGGAAACTGCTCGTAGTCAAACTTCAGGGTTTTCCCAAGAAAAGTTGTCAGGCGTGATGGAGGCAGCAATATTTGGTGTCATGTGCATATAAAATTTGATGCAGATTTAGTGTGTATTTATTGAATTATATTCAACTGAAATGGGAAAATGGGGGGTTGCCCAAAAAGCTACAAACAGCCCTGCTAGCTGGAGCGTCTACTGGACAAGATGCAGCTGCCGTGGGAAGAGGAGCAGCACGTTGCCAGTGACAAAATGCGTTGGAGAGATCTCATTGTAGTCTTATGTCCCACAGGGGGGGAGGAGGGGTGAGTTTTAACTCCTCATACGTTATGTTATTGTCAGCTCACTCTCAATAATTGTAAATATTGGCTGCTGACCTGTTAACTTAAATTAACAGTAACATTTGTGTTAACATCAAACAGTCCAACGTTAATTCCCGGTTGCAGAAGTTGGCGGCTCTCTGCTGTGTGTGTGTGTGTGTGTGTGTGTGTGCTTGTGTGATACCGTTCATCACTGTTCACTGTAACATTTGCAGGATGTTTATCTTTGTGTCTCTTGCTATACTCCCTAGGCTACTGCAAGTTAAAAAAACATCTTAAAAATATATTATAAAACAATTGCCAGATGCTTAGGCCGAGCAGGCTGCCTAGCGGACATCTTAAAGTTACAGCCAATGACCCAGTTTTTTCATGAAATTCCTACTATTTAGTGTACTTGTAAGTGTGTGTATGTCTGTGTGTGTTCGCGTGTGTAATCTCACCGCGACAAGAGTCCCACAAAGTTGCTGGGGCTGGAGCAATGGAAGAGGGACTTAACGTTTCCCACCTCACTCTTAAACGTCTGAAGCTCCACCCCTCTGGTGACACGCAGAACCTGTCGGACCTGCACCTCGTAGAAACTGGTTAAAAGTGGAGAGAGAAGTGCGGCAAAGAAGGTGCGTCATGTCGAAAAATCAGCAAGTGCATGTGTTAAACTGTAAGTTGTTGTTCTAAAAAAGTTTTACATCAGCATGCTTTACTAGGCTGTTTCAAGAAAAGTGTAAATCCAGTGCCTCTAAAACAGGTACAGGACACGATGGTACACCTGGCGCAAATCTCATTTGGCTCCGAACTGATGCAGTTGTCATTTTCACAGCCAGCACCCATGTTCGAGTAGAAAATATACTCAGTAACACAATTAACAGGTGTCGTGCTTTTATATCTGCAACAGGTTTTGAGGATAGACGTATTTATTGGGCGGGTTTAGAGGCACTGCATCGTGGCAAATAGGTTCTGCACTCCTCCATGATATCAGATATAAAAGCATGTCTGAGGCAGTACGTTACCTGCTCTGCAGCAGAGAGGTCAAAGCCTGAAACTCGGAGGTGCCTTGGGGAACGCTCTCGATGCTGCACCTCAGAGCGCGGTACTTCCCCAGAGAGGAAAGCACCGGGGTTCTCAGTGTCATCTCAGTCACGTTCAGAACATCTCGGATTAACTTGGAAAAAGAAAAAAATGTTTTGGGGATTTTATGGGCATGTTTTAAACAACAGGCAAAACAGTGTATATTTAAAACTTTTCCAAAACAATGTCAGGTCTGGAAAACTTTTTTACTTTTAGTACACTTACTGACTGTTTTGAGTATGCTTAATTTGGTCATTATTCCAAATCAAAACCTGCTTAGATTTAGTGTGTGGCATGGATTTAGGACATATGAATATTTGGTTCTCTGGGTTCTCTGTACATTTGTATCTGTTTTCATGTATGTGCTTGAGTTCACGTGTTTTTGAATGCGTGCATGTTGTTGTGTTACCTGACAGAGGTCCAGTTTCTGAGAGATGAGCTTGGCAGAGGGAGGGGAGTGGTGGGGCGTTACATGCGGCAGCAGGGTGTAAATCTCGTCAAAAAGAGACGCCACGTCAGTCTGATCTGCCTCCTTCAGCTTCCTTTGAGCCTGAAGCAACAAGCCCTCGACCCTGCTCACCTACACACACACAAACACCAACAAAGCATGGAGCACAGGCATAATCATAATGAGATTCATGATTAGCCTGTATTTTCCTGGAAGGTGAGACAAACAACAGGCTGATGGGACAGCTGATTTAAGCAGTCTGAGGGCAGACTGAGATTTCGCAGAACAATCCACAGAGAGAACCTTACATCATTGAGGCTGAGCTTATTGATCGGAACTGTGAGGATGTTGCTGAGGCAGCCCAGAGCCTCGGTCCACAGCAGCTCCACAAATACGCCCACCTCTTGTGATAAGCTTCCTGTGTTCAGCTTCTCCTCCAGCAGCAGCTGCAAGTTTAACAAGGCACGTATAAATCAGCTGATCAGCTCATTAGATTCAGCTACGCAAATGTCCAGCAGCAGCTACTCTCAGGCGCCAGACATCATAATGAAACAAACATAAGAGCATAAAATGTGTACAGAAAATACTGTAAACCTTACATTTTACTGTAAGACACACCTCCCTTCACATTTTAATGCTAGGGTCAAAGAAACACAGACATTCAAGTGTATTGTGATTACGATTATAAATGATTATGATCAAGTAACTTGTAACTAACACAATTACTATTATTGAAATTCAAATGGACACGTTACTCGTTAGTTTTGTCGTCATCGTAGCAGACAAACAGCCTATACCCTGGATTTTTTCCTTGTTATGATGTAACGTCACCTGTAGTGACCCTGCTCTCAGACAGATTAGACCTGTGTTCTTGAATTTCCTGTATGTTATTAATAACTTGACGTTATTTAAAATACTGCAGGACCCACTGGTCGATAACTAGACCTGGCCTTACGGTGGCACATAAATAACCTGGATCAATCAATTGTTATTAGACTGTCACTGCACATAATGGCCGACAGGTAATGAGCTTGCTGTCCTGGAAATATGGACATCATTTTTCCTTCCTCAAGATCAAAGACAAACAGGTGAGTTATAGTCTATGTCAAGGATTTAAATTTCTGTTAAGCTTAAAAGGATAAATGTCAGCGTGTTTATGATTTATATATCACATTTATTTAGCACCTTTATTTGCTATTGTGAGAAGAAATCACTATTAAATGTCTGAGGAACAGTTTAATTTCATTTTATTCTGCCAAAAGCATTTTTAAAACTGACTTGTGTCGCTTGATTTGAAGGTCTGACCAGGCCACAATGAATAGAACTGTGAAAACGTATCTACTGTGTTTAATTGTTCTACTTTAGACTCTCATCATAGTAATGAATAGGTAATAAAATGGATAAAAGTTGTCTTGTTGCACATTGTTCCACAGCGACACATAAACAATACAGTGTGCACTTATGAGAGAGTTGAAACAGATTTTAAAGTAATAATCTTTATTTCTACAGCGCTTTTCTTAACCAGAGTTACAAAGTGCTTTGATGTACAGTACCATACAATATGAATGAATAATTCAACTACTTTTGGAATAAGTAACTAGTAACTGTAACTTATTACTGATTTTTAGTAAGTTGCCCGACACTGGCAACAGATATGTAAAGCTTCAGACGATCATATAGTGTAATGCATTATTATAATTCATAATTTGTTATTATGGTGACTATGAATTAATAACCATAAACATACTATATACCAGTGGTTTTCAACTGGTCTGGCCACAAGGTCCAGATTTCTCCTTAGTCATCAGTTCAAGGTCCACACCGTTTAATTTATTTAGTGTCATCGAGTTAGTTTGTTGTCTCTCCTGAGTAGCTTTACGTTAGTCACTCACTCTACAGCAGGAAACTGCACATGAAAACAAAAGCTCTGTGCCAGAAATTCACCGTACTTAAAATGAAGTTTGTTTCTTTTACAAACTTGACTCGTTTCGAGTCACTTGTGGTCCATTCAGACCCACTTTTAGACCGTGACCCACCAGTTGGGAGCCACTGCTTTGAACAATATGTGTCATATTACGCAACATTTAGTGAGTCAGCATGAACTAAAAAAATAAATGAATAAAATAAAAACCTAAAAGTTGGCCAGAAATTTTATTTAATCACATTCTGGTTGTTCAGATTTGAAGAAAATACAGCTACTTGAAAATTGAAATGCTGTGACAAAAACTACAGTCCCCACAATGCCTTGCCGTAAACCAGTATTTAACCCTTCACATTATTGTGTGCAGCTTTATAAAATGTCTATTAAATGTGTAAGTGATGTACAGTGAGTGTGTCAGACCTGCTGGAGGGGGGCGGAGCCCAGGTCCACTGCCTGTGGAGGGATTTTGATCCTCAGCTGCAGACCAGCAGCCTGCAGGGTCTCTCTCAGGGCCTTGTACACCTCCAGAGCGTCCTCTGAGGTGGACAAGAACACCATCGCATCCTTTTTCTCCGCCTTCTGTTGGCACAAACACAGAGAGTTTTCTAACCTGAAAGTTATTCTTCATAAGTCTGACTTGCGTCTGAAGCCTCTGATGGGGCCAAAACTTCCGACTCTCACTTGATAACTTGGGCTTCTGGTTTCATTGGTCAATTTTGTGTCCTGTGATGGTCTAAATGTTCAGGAGCTTTCTCACACTAATTCCACACTGGTTTAAAACTACTGCAAACACCTTTTAACTTCAGTTTACTTTCACAGGATAATACAGAAGACAACATGTTTCAAGACATAAAGGAGAACATTTCGTAAACAGGTCATAAACGTATATCGATAAAAGGTCAAGCACTATGTGAGTGTCTAAAGCAACATGAGAAACATTTAATGCCTCAACAAGGACTTTGATATGAGTGTCATGCTGTTATCTAAGATGTCACCAAGTTTCTTTTCTTCATGTCTGATGCGGAATTTGGGGCCGGTTCATAACAGTCCTTGTGTGATACAACTGGGGATCTCAGAGTAACGATGGCTCAAGTCTGCTCCCTCTCCAAGCCCCATTAAATATCAAATAAAATGGTATGGCACTTTTATAAGGTGCTTCCTGACTGTCGATGTATTTGCTGCACTAACTGTGTTAACTACCCTGTTGTCTATAACACCACGTATGACTTCTACTTGTCCGCCTCACAGTACTTGTTTCAGTGCTTGAAAAACTTCTCAACAGCTGGAGTTTCTACCTCGAGGGTTATGCAGAGGTGTGTCGCTTACTGTCAATGATTATTATGGGATTGGCTGCTTTTACCTGCCTGTGCACTGTTGACTCATGTACGCTCTAATGAGGCCTGATGGACCAAAAGCTCAGAATAAAGTGAAACAATGGAAGCAGGGCTGTCCTGAATAGCATTTTGGGGGCTCTGAAGATTCAGTGATAATTACCTACGAATATTTAAAGGTGTAGCAGAGAGTGGGGGTGGGGGGTTGAGTTGTAGTAATAACTCATGTTCATATGCAATATTCATCCAACAGTAGGTCCTAGCGCCAATTTAATGGCTTGGAGCGGGGGTCAATGACTGCACTGAGGACACTGGCCTCACTAGTGTCTTGACACTTGCCACCCCCTTTCAGTTTCCTTTACCAGTTTACTAGTAGGAAAATAAAATGAGACAAAAGAAAATTTTGAATACAGAGTTGGATGTCCATTACCATGGCAATGACTGACTCTTCGAAGCATTCAGGTCAGCCCTAAATTTAAGAAAAGGGTCCAAAATGACCACCCAAGCAAAATGTGGGTAGGGTTTAGGGTTAGCCTACCTACCTACTGTAGAGATTAGCTAACAGGATTCTTATGCCTGGTCACCATTCTGCCATTACCGGTTGATCAAGTGATGTCTGACTGAAAACATGGAATGTTATTTGCAGCTGCATAGATCCAACATTATTGCTATAAGGATCTGTGCAGATTTATAGACAGCAAATAAATGCCTGCATCAGAAATACTGACATCCAAATCGAGTACATACCCATCCATATGACTTTTGGCCATGTGACCAAATTACTTTTTTTTGTTTTCAATGTCAAGCTCTCCAAAAAAGAATGACATTGCCTAATTTCTAACAAGTAAATAAGTCATTTGTGAGCTGAGACACAAGCAGTAACATAAATAGAGTTCATACCTTGGACAGTATATCGTCCTTCCAGTACTTGACCACACGGTACTGCCATCCTTCCTCTCCTTTGCAACTCTGCAGCTCCAGCACACACCAAATGTTGCTGTTTGCCTATAGACAGAAATGTTTAATATCAATATTAGTGACTACAGTGCCCTCGTTGTCGCAATAGTAAAAACAAAAAAAGCTAAAAATAAATTGCAGCTTTACCTTTTCAAAGATGGAATACTTGGCCACTTTGAAATTATCTGGATACGTTGGAATATCAGAATCATTTTCAGTATAAATTCTGTGACATAACAAGTGACAACAAACATGCAAAAGTCAATGCAAGTTTATACATGTTATAATACAGTTTTCTGCAGAAATGTTTATGTCTTGTGGTGGGTTTCATCCAGCTCTTTCAACCCTGAACCAACTGTATTTTTAAATGGAAAACACTGAGATTTAAGGGAAGAGAAATTATCTTTGTGGGCTACATCCTCAAGTGGCAAAACATGCCCTCCCGTGAATGAGCGAAAGCCACTCTCTGCAGAAAATGCTCAAAGATGATCAGGAATAGGCTACAAATCAGCTTTATAAAGGCCTCACCTGCTTATTGTAACTATGCCAAAAGTGTTACGCCATATTTACAATGCTAAATGTTTTTTAAAAAGACTTCAAGGCACAAAATGTAAGATTTTGGGGGATATAGTGGCATCTAGTGGTGAGGATGGCAGATTTCAACCAGCTGCAATTTCTCCCAGTTAGAGCTCCTTCAGTGTTCAGGAGGTTTTTACTGTGAGCCGAATTATCCACAGAGGTCTCTTCCTCTCCAAAACAAACAGGCCAGGTAATTTAAACCAGTAAAAACAATTAGTAAAGCAGTTTCACAGTAGAAATCAGTGTTTCTCTGACGATGTTTGGGCATGTCTGAGATGGGCCGCTAGCCTTGCACCTGCTAATGTGTGCTCACCTTTTTTCTTTGACAAATTAAGATCCAGACTTCAGGAGCCTTTTACTGCAAGCCAAATTATCCACAGAGTTTTCCTTCTCTCTAAAACAAGCGGACTCAGGGTCTCATTTATAAACACTGTGTACGCACAAAACAAGGCCTGAAAGCGGCGTTCTCCATTTCCCACGCAAAAGTTGTAATCTGTAAAAGCAGACTTGATGGGAGACCTCTGGTGATTTAAAATGGTAAAAACACTGAATAAAGCAGTTTCACATGACATGTAATTAGTTTCCGAAGCTACTTCGTTTTCATGTTGAAAATGCTAATGGCCCTATTTAGAGCCAGTGTTTGGTTTGCCTGCTCTGGGCTACTGTAGAAACATAGTGGTACATACATGGCGATCTCCGTAGAGGAGGACCTACTGCCTAGGTAGCAATAAACGGGTCATTCTAAGGTAACGAAAGATTTTTATTTTCAGGCGGTTATACACTAAGGAAAACCTACTTATTATGTTATATTCAATTTCTGGCAACATTTCCCCCTAAATCCTACACACTGGACCTTTAATATTTAACCATCTCTGCAATTAGTACGAGTGTACTGTGTGTCATATTGTCTCCTTCATTACTCATCCTCCAGTGCAAATGCAACACACAACTGTGCACATCCAGGCTGTCAAGTCAGTGAGCGTTGTTCACACCTGAACTTTTCCAGGATGTTTCCACTTCTCCCCGGAGTCTCTGCCTTCTGAATCACACTGACAGAGTTTACAGGCTTGGCTGGGCCCTTGGATGGCTTATTCACAGCTGCTTTGCTTGTTGGCACTTCAGAAGCTACAAAGCACAAGACAGAGCCAATCACATAAATGCCACTCCTCATGTCACATGTTCTGCAATATATGCATTAAAAGTGGTATGCATTTAAACCTGAGTACACACAGGCTGTGTGAACTTAGTGACATATATACTCTTTTAAATACACTTCACAAAGCGCTCGTTACACAACGCTGCTGCAGGTTTGAATGAGCTCTAAAGCAAATCTGTGTAACAAAGTACAGAGGTGCACACACCTGATGAGCAAACACACCCCTGATCTGACCCAAAGGCTGCTATGTGGTTAAACCTGCTGACTCAGTCTGCACTGTATTCTCAAATCACAATGTCCATTTTTCAATGTGGAAACAGAAGTGGGAGGAAACAACTACTGAACAACAATAAACTCATGACTTCTGCCTGAGATGAATCATGAGTGGTTGTGTTGGGTGCAGGCTGAGTCCTAACACTGATTGTGTTACGCTGCCCTCAAACTGGCTGAGACAGTATAAACAAAGTGATTGATTGACATTTTTCATTCCCACATCACTGACTGCACACTGCACAAACCCCCACTGCACATGTTTAAATGTAATTTTAAAGTTTAAGCACAAACTGTTAAATAATGTGCATTTACAAATATCAGCGTCAGGGTTTGGGAGGATTCTTCCATTTACTGCTGCAGTTAATATTCATTTTTTCGTCTAACAGGGATCAATAAATCTGCACTACATCCTATTTCAAAGGCAGAATCTTTGATATCTGCATTTTTATTTAAAGATCCTCTCCAGACAAGTTTTAAAGTATGTAAAAATACTCAGATATGATTAATATTTTGTTGAACACAGTTTGCCAAAAGGGGATGAAAGCATATCTACTCCTTCAATCCGTAAAAGAGAAATTCTCACTTTCTGTACCGACAAGTCAGCCCTGCGCTTGAGGTTTCAGGCCAGTTTTGGGTTGAAGTCTGTTTCCTGTATTAGACAACAACTGGCTTTTGTGTGGAGAGGTGCAGAGAAGACATGTTTTTGTCGGCCAACCTGGAAGTTAATATTATCCTGGTCACACGTTTTGTTGCATCTGTATTCATTTGTTTCAGTATTTCATGCCTGTTTGGTGCCTGTTTCGTGACTTTGATCAGCTGCAGTTGTTTTTAAATGTGCTGTTCAAAAAAGTTAGACTTGAGTTTTGCTTTTGTTCTTTATGTGGATCCCTGACAGAGGTGGCCTGATGAGAGTATTTTTGTTGTTAAAACATGAGTGATGCCCATATAAAATTAAAATAGAAGTGACAACAGTTTGAAGTTTTAAGCTGTTTTAAATGTTCATACTGTTTTTGTTGCACAGATGATCTGCTTGGTATTCATCAGTATTTATGTGCTTTTCTAGGACAGTTACTGCCCATAATAATGATTCAATACCTTGCTGTGAGAGTGGCTTCGATGAGGAGAGAAGAAGAGGAGGCGAAAAAGAAGGAGATGAAGAGGAAGTATCCAACTTGTATTGATCCACAGGCAGAAGATATCCCCTCTCCACACAGCTGTGCACGTAATCCACCCCGACCACGGGCGTTTGGTATTTCTGGATGCTGCGCAGCCTGTTGGAGCTCAGGTTGGATACATCACTGGTCACTATCAGAGAGCACTGTGGGTAACGTGGGCAGATATCAGAAGATTTTTGTTACTGTATATGAACATTCATGAAAGCTGCATCTACATTAATCATGTTGGAGAAGAATACTTAGTTTTTAATAAAGGCCCTTAACCGGTGAGGAGTGAGGAGTGATCACATCAGCTGACCTGTTTATTGACCACAAAGGAAATGTGGCCTCCATTCTCTGTTATTGCTGATTTCAGCTTCTTCTTCTCCTTGTAGGGCAAAGTTTTCAGCTCCAACAGGATGGAGCAGTTCTCAAACACAGCCATGCCTGTAAGGAGAGGACACAACCACAGTGATGGGAAGTAACTAAGGACAAGTATTTCCATTTCACGCTTCTTTATACTTCTACTCCACCACATCTCAGATGTAAATATTACAACTAATACTTCATTCCACATTAATTTGACAGCTTTAGTTTTTAGATTGAGACTGTCCATACTCTTCCTGTCTTGTGTAAACCATGTATCCCCAAATGTGATTAAATCCAGCTACTTCTTAAATTTGATAAACTATTTGAAAAATCCTCTTGGATCAGCCGGGGAATGCATCGTCACAAAGCTGAAAACAGCTGTTTTTCTGACACCATAACATGTTGACTTTTTGGAGATCAGAGGACAGCTACCCTACAAACATATGATGATATTATAGATAATGGTGCAGCATTGCTGTAGATTAAACTACCCAACAGTATATAAATGAGTTATACTATTGTGTGCCTACACAGAAAACAACTGATGAGCAAAGTCCTTCATTTCCTTCTGCTATCAGGCCACTAAATGCTGATAGTAACCAAGCTGCAAATATCTATGCCAACCCTCTACACCATGTTAATTTATTTTATGTCTATATTTTCTATATATATCTATATTTTTTTCCACCTGGCTCCTCATGTAAGGTTACATATACACGGCCTCTGGAAAGAGCCAGAGTGAGATCTTGGTTTCTGTTGTTGCAGCCTGTTTATCTGTGCTGTTGTCGTCACTGGCATGTTGATGTTGATGTTGATATCTGATTGCTGCTGTTAGTTTATGTATTTGTTTATTCTATCTTACATGGATGGCATAGGCAGAAAAAATGAATTGCCCTTTTGGGACAAATAAAGTTTTCTGAATCTGAATCTGAGTAGTAGCACAACATTAAACACCTACAGCAGTAAAATACAACATTTAATGCGACTGTAATATTGTTAAAAAAAATCATAAAGGTAAAATACCGACAGGCGACTTTTTACTGCACATTAAGTACTTTACTTTTGATACTTTAAGCTGATAATTACCTACTTTTACATACACATAATTTTCAAAGCAGGACTTTCACTTTTAACAGAGTATTTCTGCTTTAACTTTAAGATTTAAATAATTCTTCCACCACTGCATACTCAACTAATTATAGTTATGACAACATACAAGTTGTTTCAAGTCATACAAGTACTTGTGTATATGGATAGGTGACAAGCTTTCATTTCATGTGCATATTGCTGCTCTAGTCAGGAAGCTTAAAGTGAAGATTGGCTTTTATTTTAGAAATAAATCTTTTAGTGCTAAGAAAGAAACGTGTAGATGCTACTTTTCTGTCTGTGATCGATGACAGTGACATATTGTATATGCTTGCAACCTCCTCTATGTTACGTAGCCTTGATTCAGTGTACCATACGTCTCTATGATTTATTACAAATGCAAAGACACATACTCACCACTCCATTTATGATTTGGTGGGTTGGACGTCACTGACCACTCACAGACAACAGCACTAGTGTATTTTTATCTATAAGCAATATTGGGCAAACTTCCAGCTGAACTCTGCACCCTTCTGTGTGTCAGCTCTGATAGTTACCAGCTCCTCCAGGTGTTTGCTTTTTAAATTACCTTGGGTTTTAACAGATCTGGGGAAAACTGCATTCCCCTACTCTGCACCTTGGACACAGATCAATTTAATTGATGAATTTAGGGGTTCATAAAGAATGTAGTGACAGAGACATGCGCTTGTTTTTCCTAAGAGGCCACTATGTTTGAATAGTTGTTGTTTTATTGTGGGATTTTTGTATTATATGTTGTATTTGTTGCATTTTAATGTGTTTTGATCGGCTGCTACCTCGACTAGGTCTCTCTTGTAACAGAGATTTTCAGTCTCAATGGGACTTCCTGGTTAAATATAGATTAAATAAAAATAAATAAAATCATTGTTATACATCTGATGTTTTAAGCTGCTTATTGTGTTTGCTGTTTATCTCTCTTTTGGTGTGAAAAGCAGGATAATAGCTTTTTGGTGTACTTTATATGTCCTGATTTCTGTGTGTTATTGTTACAGTAATTGGCGTCATAATGACACACCCACCCACCCACCCACCCACACACACACACACACCAACAGTAATTGAACTGCTGGGAAACAAACACGGAAGCATGAACAAGTAAGCTGTAAACAGGTATAAAGGTGCAACATACAGGCTACAAGCATCTGAATCAAAGGTTAACGTTACAGTCACATCCGGATGCACTGACGCAGCATTACTTGAAATAGCTTTCAAATTTGTATTCCATGTTTTTCATATGGCGAATATGAAACAAAAAATAAGAAATAAAGCAATGAACAAAGTAGGCAAAGTAAATGCGCCCCTTAAATGTCTAATAAACTGTGTAACCTACTTTACTAACCGCAAAACAAGCTAAGCTCTTTGACAGTTTGCATTACAGTAAGAGTTAGCTAGCTTCGTTGAGTCATGGCGTCACTAACGTCTTGTTAATTAATAAAAAGAGAGGTTTACTTTACTGTTAACATCCAGGCGATACTTCTGCGGCTGTTGTCAGAGAGTAACGGCTGGCGTTAGGTCTTATAGCAGATGAAGCGTTGAAGTAAAGTCCTAACCTGTCAGTGCTGCAGCGTATATCAGCTTAGCATCAAGCTAACGGCACGACCGTCTCCATTTCCGGTGTGTGTGTGCTTTTCAAAATAAAAGTGGTGGCGTTAAAGCGGAACCCCCAAAATTAGAACTCCAGTATTATATATGTTATGATATAAATATATTTTCATGGCCTAACAAAGTTCAATGAATATTTGTGAACACGAGTTACTCTCTTTTAAAGACAGAAACTTGAGAATTAAGTCTCAAACTTGTGACGTCATAGACAATGAACAGGAGCCTGATTTTGTGGACCAACAAAATGTTGTAGCTGTTGTAGTTTTCTCATCTCTGACACAGAAAATGTACCTGTATACTCAGAGCATTCCCCTAGGTCAGGGGGTGGCAACCTCTACTATCAAAAGAGCCATATTTGACCAAAAAATAAAAAATAAAAATCTGTCTGGAGCTGCAAAACATACCTTATCAGGAAGGTAACACAGTCTATTAAGTGTAAATTATCCTTTTAACATTACTAACAGGTCTTAATGAGCATTCATAGTGTTTTACAACAAGATGGCTGCTCTTTAGTGGGCTATTCATGTTTATTTTGTACTTCAACTTTGCAGCATTGGTGGTGAAAGTAAATGAATATGTTCATGTACTATGAAATTCTCTATTTTCCTCCAAGACTTTTTTTTTTTGGATATGGAGTCTATAGCTAGGCTAGCTAGGGAGACTCAAGACGAGCCACTGCTATTGAGGTTCGGCAAAATTTAGAGGAAAAGGCGCCAGGCCGCAGACGAATGATGAAATGTTGAAACAGTTTTTTAGTTTGGTGTATAGGCTACATATCTGTACAAGTGAAGAACGTAAGAACCACTTTAGACCAACAACAATGGTATATTAACATAATTTGCCTTTATTCATTTCCATATAATTTTTCCAGTCAGCCTGTGCAGTAATCCACCCATATACCTCTCTTTCTCTCTTACTGATAACACACTGATATGTAATACTGACTGAAGAAATAATATAAATTAACTGTATGTAGATTGTCCCAAAATGCAATTTCCAGGGAAAAGGCTTAGCTGCTTTCCCAGGGTTAGATATTTGCTCCAACTGTGAACTCTTTTTTATCTGACTTTTACATTGAAAGGAGACTCACAAGAGTGGAAGTAGTCTCACTTTCAGTTTCTGTGACTTGACAGAGCTAATCAGTGGCTAACTTCCTGGTTAAAAGCAAATTGTAGTTATTCATTTGATTCACCACTTGAGCTGCTTTACTTACACTACAACCAGAAGGCCACGCTGCCCTCCTCTGGATGAAGAGTACAACAAAAACAGTATGGAAACCTGGGGCCGTATTCACAAAGCTTCCTCGTGCTAAGAGTTGCTCCTAGTGTCAAAATTCTTGATTCAAAATTTCCCCTTAAAGTTAAGACTAGGTCATTGTAAAGATAAGAGTTATTCACAGAGCATCTTAGACCTTAAAGGAGCTGAAAAACTGTTAGGAATAGAGAGGAGGACTTTTATGAGGCTTTAGAGGTTCTTAATCAGAGGAGAACATGGCAGAAACACAAAGAGGTCAGAGAAATGATCTCCCAATACTGGATGACAGGGAGTAAATGTAATGCCACAGATTATATTGTGGAGGGATAATATTTGTAGTTGATCTCATTAGGGACACACACACGCATTTTTCCACCCAACGCAATAAGTTATCACAGTACTAGGATAGAAAACTGGAAAAAAAATGCCACAGTGCAGCAGAGACGACTTGAGTCTGTCTCAACCTTCCATCAGCAGAGTGATCACACTAACAATGACACTTTCACAGTCAGCAGTTCATTTCATTTCCACTGGGTGTCCACATCTAGGGTGTGTCTGTGACAACCAATCACACCTGTTAAAAGAATGCACCACACCTAGCAGGGGGGTCAACCACACTTCCTCACTGAGGTAAAAGTTTCTGTCCCTTTCTCGAGTTGCTCTGAGAACTTTCCTAAATCACTCCTAAGCTAGGACTCCTTACTAAATTAGGCTAAATTAGGAGCTTTATGAGTATTCTCGGGATGATTGTCAATACGGCCCCAGGATTATTGAAACGTGCAGCCACGCCTTCTTCACAGGAACACACTCACACACGTGTTACATGGCCCACAGTAATGATTGGCTGACACTGAGCAGCTGTGGTAAAAGAGTTGTGTGTTGTCTGGTGTGTAAATTAAGATGTTATTTTGAGCAACAACCTCAGGTTTCACGCTAACACTGGGGCTTTTACTTTTCTCATAAGATGTGATATTACAAGTGGATATATTTAAGTACGTTGAAAACAGCAATCCTTCTATAGAGCGGCAGGATACATTTCTCCATCATCACAGTCAGGAGACACTGAGAGCCGCACCAAGCCAGTTATTAAAACACAAAACTAAAGAACTCTGACAGCCTGAACCTCCTGCAGTGAAGTAAAATAAAATAATCTAATATCTTATAATGGGAACACAAAGTTTGTCCAACCTTTGATTCAGATACAGTGCAGTCTGGTGCCTCAAAGTGACAGTGAGAGTCCTCAATAAACAGTAGTTACTCTTATTATTTATTTTGTTCGGCTAAAAAAAAATACAGAAAATGACTGAAGATACAAAATGGCAAATGCAGATAAGTGAAGGACTTAAGGAGAACAGTAGAGGACCAACACCTTAGAAGATATATACTTGAGACTGATGTCCAAAACTGGCATTTTTAAAGGTACAGTTTACTCCAAAATCAAATATACATACTATTCCTCTTACCTGTAGTGCTGTTTATTAAACTAGATTATTTTGGTGCGAGTTACTGAGTGTTGGAGATATCAGCTGTAGTGATGTCTGCCTTCTCACCAATATAATGGAATTAAATGGCACTTGGCTTGTAGTGCTTGAAGCGCCAAAAATACATTAAAAAAAACTCAACAGCAATGTCTCTTTGCAGAAATCATGACCTGATTACTCAAGATAATTCACAGACTTTGTTGTGAGCAGTTTCATGTAGGGACTATTTTCTTTCTGCCAAACTACACCTGCCAACCATATCGCCACGAAGCAGGAAGTGTGCATCTACTGCGAGCTCACCTAGCACCACTGAGCTAGCTAACGTTACAGCTCAGCCGAGGAGGCCACTACTGTTTACATCTCACACTGTCACGAGCACGAGCCTCTTGTCCATGAGTAGATGCACTCTTCCTTCCGCACAGTGATACAGTTTACAGGATGTGAACACAGCTCTCTTGGATGAAAGTCTATGTTTGTTGGACCCATTCACCACCTCTCCGGCTTGCCCCACTTGGACTTTTGCCACCTTAACTTTTGTCTTTGTCCCATCACATTTCCGCCATTTAACTATCACGGCAACTAGCCGCGTATCATGCCGACGTCAAAGGACACCTTTATCGTTGGTCTCTGACGCCGCAAGTTACTGCTTCGATGACTTTAGACCAGGCTCTTTCTACAATAAAGTTATATGATTACTTTACATAAACTATAAAACAACAAATAAACCTATAAAAACAATTAATTAAATGAATACTTTCTTATTTTATTTGGTATTTTTGTCATATACAAATATGCACTGATGACTGCTCAGCAATATGTACGTTGGTGTTATCTAATGTCAAGCCGTAGCTAGTATGCAAAATCTTGCACTGGGGCCCATCATAATAACAAGCACTGGGGCCCATCCTAACTACCGTACGCCACTGATACTCAGAAACATTGTGATTTGTACTGGATTAGATTTTTCCCTATCGTTCTTTTTGGCTGGACTGCAACGACCATACACAAGATTTTGACCTAGTCTTGTTTCTATACTTTCCAAACTCAGACATGCTGGATACTCAGGCCCCTGCGCCATGACCGTTTACTCTCCTTACGTGCCTCTGCCTCTTGGATCCATGCTTTAAACAGCGACACAGAGGTGACATCTTTATAGGTGCATAAGGACTGATTGCCAATTGAAGAGTTGTGAGAAGAAGTTTCACAGAAGTTTCACACATTAGAGGCTCATAAATATGCAAGAATTTTTCATCAGCTGTGAATAGATGTCTCCCTTTTGTTCAACACAGTCAGTCCAACAGAGTTTGGGATATTTCAGTGAGATCTGTGTGAACTGTTGTGAGAAAGGAAGTAATAAAATGTGTGAAACCAGTGAAAATGAACACATTTGAGACGAGAAGAGATGACTTCTGCTGTGCAATGAAGGTGACGATGAAGATCACATGAGTCCCTGTTCATTAAGTGTGCCTGAGGAATTGAGAACAATTGTAAAAAATAGATACGTAAGAGGAAAAATATATCTTTGATTTTGGGGGTGACCTGTCCTTTTAAGCCAGTACTGTACCTTCACATAGTTAAATATTGCACCAGAAAAGATGTTTGACATACATTTCTCCCTGAGTGTCTGAACACCAGATATAAGACTTCAGTATCAGCAGTGCCGTACACAGACATTTTGTGATGCAGGTGCTCAAGTGAAAAAGAAAGCATCCCTTCCACAATTTTCTTTTGCATGTGGGCATGCAGAATTTTCTTGTACACCCTGCAAGGAGATTTCTAAGTGTCTGCTGGCACCAGAAGAGCTCTTGAGGTTGGAGTACATACGGTACATTTGTGCACAGGAATGATCAGGGAAAATGTTTCTCTGAGGTGTCTCAAGATCTACACTACATACACCCAGCAGCTGCTACATGTAGACTTTCTACATTTATGTATGTTTATAACGGGCAACAACAAGGGCAACAACGCCACACTGTGCTCACTTCGGTGCTCCATAAAATAAATAACCATCACAATCAAATAATCTTAACACAAACTTAAAAACGCTGTTCTTTGAATAAAGAAAAATAATCAACTCAATCTGCCCTCCGGACAAGTGGCCTGTGGTCAGTTACAATAATCAGGCTTCAAGTGCGTTCTGTTCTCCTCATTTACTTCTCCTCCTCCTTCCTTTATAAATAGCCACATACTAGCTCTTATAAGCATCTTCTAAATAAGCTTTAATTAAATAATCTTAGAGAACAGACGCGTGCA